CACACACATTTATTAGTCTTAGATATCACAGTTATGTGATAATTAAAGAACTTTTAATTTTTGGAAGAATAAAATGGATAGACAATGATTATAACCTTTCGGACACTTCAAGGAGCTCAATCTTTTTGTGCAGTTCAGCAGTCTCATCTTTCAAATGCTGCCTCCATCCAAATTTATTGCACAAATCAAGAATATGTAATATTAGTGCAGTAACTAAGGAAAACGAAATATGAGTAGACTTAAGGGTACACAACAGGTATTATGGTTGGAATATATAATAAGAAAGGGTCACAAAATACACCTGCATATTTTCATCTATGCCTTTGGCTGGGCCAATTGTTGGGGTCTTCAAAGCTGTTTGATATCGTTCTATTGTCTTGTCAATCACCCTGTTAGCATATGTTGAAGACATTTTTTAAGTTTGCATGTGTGCATAATTGTGTGCACACTCGCATAGAGAGAACAAGCTAGCATATTCATGTCTGAATTAAAGACTTATTAAGAAAGTGCATGTACTAGAAAATGGAGGAGAAGAAGTGAACGAAACTAAAAATTTTATGTGATAATCTATATATCTCTATAAAAATGTTTGCATTTATTAGAAATAGTAAGATTTTCCCGTCAAAAAATATAAAATAAAAAATCTTGCTTAGTAAATAAGAATTTTTTTAATCATTCTTCTTTACTTTTTTTTTTTTTAATTTTCTTTTAGTAATTTTACTTTATCATCCGAGACTTTTATTTTTATTTGAGATAATGTGATATTAATAATTAATCTAAATCTATTAAATAACTGTCTAGAAATTATCAATCACTTAGTTTATTTCTATCTAATCTATTTTTTTTACTTTTTGTGATGTAATATCAATAATTTGATATTAAACTTTAAAAAAATTACATTTGTTTATTCACTGACATACGGGAGTTGACGGGTGCGGTCCCACGGACGAAGCGCACCAAATCAGGGAAGCCTAAATGAAGCCTAAGTGAGGTTCCATCCCAAAACCAATTAGTGGTAGGAGGAGTAGCTCACTAGACTTATAAGTTAGACATATTTTCCCTGTACAGACGATGTGGGACAACTCACAAGTGTATATTCTAACATTCACTTTCCACATAATCTAGAATTTTATATGATTTGAAAAATATAAATTATATGGCTATAGAATAATCACCCCAAGAATCACTATTTGTAAATTAAAAAATATATGAAATTTAAAACGCATATATGAGAAAATTTCCTAACTATGATTTTTGTTTTCTATTTAATTTCCATATGTTGTCTGCTTTTTTACATTTCTATTTTGTTATCAAGCATTAATGGTTATTTTATTTCTTTTAAAAGCTTAATGATATGCTTATTTATTATCAATTTATTATATATAATATTAATTAACTTTTATTTTAGGATCTTCGATTTGACACTCATATTTTATAAATAAAAATAGTTATTTGTAACATATCAATAAGTTTATAAGTTAATATATAGATACAAAATGAACTTAAATTTTTATTTAATATGGATTTACAAATAAGAAATTAGTCTCAAGTTATTTATACAATGAAATATAAATGTGTGTATAATAAAATATATTGATCATAAATAATTTAAACTAGTAATTAATATGTTTATCATTCATGGATATAAAAAATTAATACTAAGAAATATAAAAATATAAGTAAAAATTATTCAAAGATCAAGTATATACAATATTAATATGAAAAACCAACGAGTCATTTGTCGAACTGTCTCGTAAATTATTAGATTATGAAGAATTAAAATATTTATAACATGTATTGTTATAAATTATATAAACCATGAGTCACATCAAACTCATTTAAAATAAAATTGTAGAAAAAAATTAAAATATTTATAATATATATTGTTACAATTATGATGACAAATTAATGTATCATCTGGCGAACATGTAAATTAATAACTTAGAAAAAAAAAGATTTATAATATATATTGTCCTAAACTATAATATTTATAAACCAATAAGTCATCCATCGAGAATGGTGTAAATTGTCAGCTTAGAAAAAGAATCATAATACGTATAATGTATATTGTTATAAATTATAATGATAAATCAACTAATGTTGAACTGTCGTGTAATTTATAGGAAGAAAATTCAAAATAGTTATAACATCGTTTATTAAATTATAAAATATTAGATAATTTTGAAGTAGTTAAAAATTAACAAATTTATAACTTTAAAATAGTATACACTACATTATTTTTAAATTAATTTTAGGTTTATAATCTTTGTCACATATTTTTAACTTCAAAAATTCTATTGAGCCATCGGATAGTTTTCTTATAGAGCCATCCACCACTTAATGTATTGACACATGTCCAAATTGTACTTATTGCAGGACACGTGTCAATACACTATTAGTGAATAAGTGTAGATGGCTCCATAAGTCGAGTCATCCGATGACTCCATAGCAAAACTGTTTTTAACTTTACCATCATTTATTTAAGAGTCAAATAATATATTGTAATAAGTTATAAGTAAGAGAAGAGAGAGATAAGTATTTTAGTGAGTATTATTTATTAATAATGTTTGAACATTATAATTTTCATGTTCCTTAATTCTAAATATGAACTCTATAATGAAGGTTGTTTTGTAACGGGTGAAATAAATATGTATATCGTATACTTAACAGTAGTATATCATAAGTATAAAACTAAAGATAAAAGTTAATATTAGTATTCAAACCTATTTTTATGCTAATCAATATTTCTTCACTGTTTTAACTTATACAATTTATCTTTATTGTCTCGTGCATCGCACGAGCTATGTAGTAATATTAGTAAATAAACTTAATATTTTGTAAAAGATGAAATGTAGCCATTTTTTGTGTAAGTATGAAATAATAACCATTTTGCCTTGTGTAATAACACAATTACCCTTACAATCAAAAACCATTTCTAGAAATTTGGGATTCCAGATATGATTTCAAGGCATTGTTTATATGTTCTAGTACCATTTCTAAATCACATGTTCCTAGAAACGGTTTCTAGTAGTAAGAATAATTGATTTTTAAAAACATTTTATTAAAAAAAATAGCGTTCTCATTAATAAGAATGTGAAATTATAAATTCAGACAGTACAAAAGTTACACTATTAAAGTAAAATTTTAATTCTAATAATGATCATAGAAAAAAATACTATCCATATAAATATAAAAACATAATTCTGAGTTTTATATACCTAATATGAGTGTTAAATTAAAAACTTATGAAGAAAAAAACAGCTATTCTGTTTTATATGAAAAAGTGAATTAAAGTCCTACCATGTAGTGTAGCTTATTATATATAATCAAAATATTTATTTACTCAATAAAACAAAATTCAAAAATTATTTCTTAGTCATTTTGTTTTTTAAACATTGAATAGATATACATACAAATATTGATTAATGGCGAGTCCTGTAATTAATATTACATATATAGTTATAATAAATTAATGAAAAACTATTTTTTATTAAATTTTAAATAAAGTCTACTATTTCATGATATTTACATATATATATAGAATCATCACAATCCCAATGGTCTTATAAGCAAATATTGTGGAAATGACAATTTTATAGATGTTACTAATTTTTATCTTTATAAAATTTTGAGTATAGGATTCAAGATAATAAATTACTTATTAATAGAATAATATAATTGTTGTCTACTAAGTTGAATATTAAAATTGTGCATAGATATCTGATCGAATCTTAGAATAAATGTCCTTAAAAGTTAATTTATTTCTCCCTAGGCTATGTTTTGTAGCCAAATAAGCTAGCTTTTAGCTTATTTGGTTAGCTTATAAACTTCCTGTATTTAAATAAGTTTCGGTTGATAGGACGAACATTTTTAAAAAGTTCGAGCTTATCTCATAAAATTCTTAAGGTAACTTTTCAAATAAGCTCGTTGAAATTTTTATTTCAACTAGATTATCAGCTAATTTTACCAAAAACTTTTACCATATAAACTAGCTTTTCAACTATAAGTCATAAGACTCATAAGCTATAAATTATAAGTTCGAAAATTACTGATAAACTATAAACTAGCTTATCAGTTAGTTTTACCAATCATAGCCTAAGTTTTGAAACTTTTCATAATGTCTCAGTTTAGTTTTCTTAGACTTAAATGGATTGAATTTTGGATGCATTATTAACCATTTTTGTTATACAAGCATTTACCTTGTTTTGACTTGTTTCTGGATTTGGTAAATTAATTATTGGTCTAATTGGATACTAAATGTTATTCTTTCGGTATTTAAGATTGTTAATGCCTCTACAATTTTATATGCATCCACTGGTTGATCTTAAAACTATTTTTTTATGTATGGTGTTTTAAATCAACATAAAAAATTGAGTGTTATGGTTTTCGCAAAACGAGATACAATAAAATGTACGTTCTTTACTTGTTGAGCTGATTTTAAGCTAAATTGTGAGTGTGTTTGAGCTTAAGTTGACATTTTGTTTCATCCAGTTCAGCTTAAATTAACAAAATTGGTTTCTGACTTAAAATTTGCATATTTGAACTTGTTTCTATGTTTTGTGGACTTAGTTCACATTCGATAAGGTTAATCCTAATGTGGATATACTAATTTTCATCTATATAAAGTTGGAATTAAAGTCTAATTTGGTTTTATAGACTTTAAACTCAAAATAAAGTGAAAAGACACAAGTTCATATAAGTTTCATATTTTGGCTCAAATTAAAAGTTAGATTTCGAGATTATCTTTGTCTTGGTATCTCAAAATATTTGTAAGTTTTGGGTTTTGAGTTTGACTTTGTAATAGACTCATAATGTGTTTTCGATATGCGGTAGGGGTGTTCACGGTCTGTATTGGTCTGGTTTTAGCCCAAACCATGACCAAACCGGACCTAACGGTTAATTTTTTTTTCCATAATCGGACCGGTTTTATTTTTTTACCGACCACAATCCTCACCGCATTGGACTGTCCGGTTTGGCGGTTAGCCGGTTAAATCCAAAATCCTTGTTTTGGGCCTTCAATTTTTATTTTTTTTCATTTTGGGCTTAATTTTTATTTTTCAATTTTGGGGTCAAAAGAGATTATTTGGGCCTAAAAATTAAGAAAAACTAACAATAATGATATAAAAAATACACACTTCGTCCAATAAGCATAAAAATACACATTTCGTGACTTTCTTGTTTGAATATATATATTTGTTATAGTTTTTTAATATTTACCGGTCCGGTCCAGCTAAACTGGCGGTTTGCCGCAGGTAATCCATTAACCGGACCGGTTATTTTGGATTTTTAAAAAAATTAACTACCGAATTTTTTAAGGCTTTTTTAACTGAACATTTAACCGATCCGCGGTCCGAATTGACGGTTTTTTCGGTTAAAACCGGACCATGAACACCCCTAATATGCGGAGCTAATTATCCTATAAGGATAGGATTTATATTGAAAACCTTCACATATAATCCATAAG